GATTCCTGCCCTGGCCTCCTCCACCAATAGAACACACTTCTCCTCCTCTGTTTCTAGTGCTCCATATCTGTTTTCCAGGCAAACCACTGCACGTGGTTATGATGACTTCTTCATGCTGCCAGGAGATACAAGCTTCTACCTCCCTGAGAGTCCATGGCCTCTTCCTTTTCTAGCACCACCTCTGGCAATCCTTCCTCCACAGTCCTAGAAGTTTCCTCCAGCATGAAATCAATGAAGTTCTCATGGTGGAGCATTCTTCAGAGCCTTGCTACTTCCTCCTGTAGATCTCTTGCCTTTGCCCTGAGGGAGACCATCAGAAGGCACCACTTACATTGCAGACACTCCGCCACCTGGCTGACACTGGAAGGAATCTGCAAGGTGCAGTCTGCACAGCACCAAACCATAACCTAGATGGAAATCTCCATGCTGTGTGGTGCTGCTTGGAGAGACACTTACAGGTGGAAGCAGAGGAAGAGCTGGAAGTGGCAGTGGCTTTGGGATTGAGACGTCCTCCAGCCATGACTCTGAGTCTTCTAATCTGCTGCCTCTCACTTCTTGCCTCTCTTTCCAAGCAGATCTTTCCTAGTAAACTCCTCTGTAGCTGGCCTGTTTGCTTTTCCTTGATCTGAAGGGTTCCCTTTTCCCTTCAACCTCTTTCCTATCAGCAAGCTTAAATGAATGAGAGAGAGAGTTTCCAAGCAAACTCCTCCTTGCTCTGGACTCTAGTTAAACAAGGGGCTTAAGACTTGGTCTAGCAGCTGTTTTAGCTGCTAAAATAAAATTATGTAGCTCATCAGTCCTAATTACATATATATATGAAAAGAATCTTACCTTTTAGGCTCCCATTCAAAGAGAGGGGTGGCAAAATGACCTGGAAACTGACTAGTGAACTCTTTGCAAACTGTCCTGTTTGCTTTTCCCTGTCCTGCAGACAGCTGGGAAGGGGGGGGAGGCAGGACTGGGGGAAAGAGGCAGGTCCTCAGCTGCAGGTAGGCTCCTGCAGGCAGGTTTGATTCCCTGCTTCCCCCCGTTCCATGTTTGTCTGTTGCATTGAGGGGAGAGGGGGGTGCTCTAACTTATGGCACTTTATGTAAAGTGTCATGAGTTAAAGCGGGGGCCTGCATGTCTGTCAGAGCCCTACATAGCATACTCCTATGTATCCAGACAGTACTGTATGACTCCATGGCAGAACTCTAGTGAATGTGGCTGTTTCTTTGTGGCTCTTTTCTGAATATGCTAGGTTTATACCCTCATCTGTGTTAATATTATTTTATATATCCAAATAATTATATTATGGAATTTGGGATTTTGCAGTATCTTTGTTCAGGTAGTGGGTGAATCTGTTCCCCACTCCTATTTTCCCCATATGGACTTTAGTATGGTTTCCCTGGGGATAGTAAAATGCAATTTGAATAAGATGGAATTTGAACTTCTCTGTTTGGTTACATTGTTTCTAACATGGGACTTAGAACCAATGGCCAGTAGATTTGCCTCTGGAGAAAAGGATGGAATCAAGAACTTCTGTGAATACATTTACAGCCTTGATTCTGATCTAACAGCCTTGGAGCAGCCAAAAAAGAAGGAAGAAATCTTTTTGTTTTAGCTCCTTTAGTTATCCACAAGGTATAGGCAACTAATTCAAAGTATGTTTCTGACAAATGTCGCTTTAACTAACCTGTTAATTTCAGATATTAATTTTAATTGGAAAGCCCTCAAATGACTGTAAGATAAACCTGACATTAAATACCAGTGTCTTGTTTTACTCTTATGGCACAGCTTTGCTCTCATGTAGGCAGTGAGTTCAGCTGTGATTGCATGCTGTGTGCAAAGCTCTTGACGGACCAGGACATGAATTCCTGATGAGAAGAGTGAGATGCAGTTCTGGGTTAGTAGATGAGCTGCAATTTAAATATTTTTAAACTCGAGGTTCATATGCCAACTTATACTTCTTATTTCTATTTCTGTACAGGTTATAGAAGGTGGAACAATAGTGTCCATACAAGTAGAGTCCCTACCCCACCAAAAAAGAGCTATGATAACAATCTTTTTTAAAATCTAGGAAGTTTTACATCCCACATGTAGTACTGTGTTTGTATTCTAGTAGTTATGGGAACTATCATGAATCATTGTCTCCAAACCCTGAAAAAATATAGAAAGGGACTATGGAACTGGTTACACAACATGCTTCCAATACTACTAAATAAGGGGGCTATTACACATTATACTTAGCATGTGTTAACTGCACATAAAATGTTAGTATCTGAGTATTTAAGCAGTAAATGCAACATCCTAAGTGTGCTAAGTGTCATTGTAGTGTATCAGACTTACTTTTCTGGCGAGGAGTATCTCCAGATCCTATTACCCAACACATGTTGAACTAACGTCAGACTGCTCCATAGAAGTAATAGGATCATGGGACAGACAGGAGAGCTGGGACAAACAATCGGCTATTTGTCAAAGCTCCTCCATGGCACTAAAGGGAGTTCAAGAGTCCAGCATGGTGTGGGATTTTGATCAACAAACAGCTGATTGACATCTCAGCTGTCCCACTGCACTGGAGAGTGTTCAAGACTAATGCAGTGAGAGGGCTGGGAGAATCAGTTGTTTGTCTGTCAAAGCAACCCACCACTGTGCAGTGGGAAGGCTGGGACTCTGCTGCTCTCTGCCTCTGTGCTAGATCCCAGGACCTATGGTGCTCCCTGCTTCTCTGCTGGGTCCCATGTCTGACTGTAAGGGGAGAGGAGTGGGACCCAATTCGAGGGAAGGCAGTGCTGTAGAACCCAGGTTCAGCCACTCCCTGCCTCTGTGCTGGGTCCTGGGTATGGTTGCAGAGGGGAGCAGTGTGGGACCCAGAGCAGAGGCAGGGAGCACTGTAGAACCCTGTCTCATTGCTCCTTGCTTCTGTGCTGGGTCCTGGGTCCCACAGCACTCTCTGCCTCTGCACTGGGTTCTGGGACCCAGCATGGAGGCAAGGAGTGGCATGGTACTGACTCTGGTGGGGCCTCAGGCTGAGACGAAAAATCACTCTAATTTATGGAAGCAAACTTACTGGCACTACAGCTGTAAGTAATGGTTGTAAACTCAGGTCCTATATTAAGACCAGAGTTAAAACCACCTAAAGGTTTTATAAAATATGTCTATGTAAATCTTTCCATTGACTTCAATTAGTGTTGGATCAGGCGTTTTACAGAAGAGTGAGAAATGGCAATATTCAATAGCATTTGATGGGCAGCAAGGGCAGAGGGGAGAAGAATGCAGGCCAAATGAAAAGGGAATAGTGTTTATGGTTCAGCATTCTTTGTAAGGCTGGGCCTTAAGATTTATTTAAAAAGAGGAGAGTTGGGGCCTAGGGCCTGAACACTGTAACCAAAGCACTGAGTTGTAAGGAAGATTTGAGAGAGGGTGGGCTTGTGGCATGTCCCAGTTAGAATAATCAGACAATCATATAAAACGAGGGTTGGAAGGCATGTCAGGAAGTCATTTAGTTCAACCCCTGCTCAGAGCAGGGCCATTCCCAACTATATCCTCCCAGCCAGTTTGGCATGTAATCTTGAACATATATTGACAGCATTGTGTAGAAGCAGGACCTTGGCTGCTGTGGTTCCCCTGTTTTGCCTGTGGCAAGTCAGTGTGTCAGGTCTGTGTTGTGTCAGAGTTGACAGCAGGTTTATGTAGAGTTTAGATTATGGGTTTTTATGGGACGGTTTGGACAGAGATGATCCTGCCACAGACATAGGGCTGGACTAGATGACCTCTGGAGGGCCCTTCCAGTCCTGCTTCTCTCTATGATAAAGGATTTGGGGGGCAGTTGAAAACAATTTTTAAAAATGGCAAAAAATTCAGGCAGGAGGGAAACAGAAACGTGGGGGCTGCGGGGTGGGGGCGGAGGCTGGTGGGATTAAAGATAAGCTGTTTGTGCTTCATCTGAAACTTTTCATTTGACCCCCTGGTTCCTCTGTTTCTTTCCATTTTTCCGCCGCCGCCTCCTGCGCGCGGAACCCCGGACGCTGGACAAAAACAAATTCCCCAAATAAACCTTTTCGCGCTGAGGGGTGGCTGCGCGGTCAGGCCAACGCCCCCAGCCCACACTGGAACGCTTTGGGGCTGGTTGCTGGACCCGTGCGCCCCGGCCCGGAAAACTTCACCGCTGGGGGGAAAGAAGAGCCCGACTTTGTTTCCCGGCCGGAGGGCAGACGCAGCGGCGCGTGTCCTGCTTCGCCTGAGGGCTGCGGGGCGCGAGGCACACGTGTGCAACCTCACAACGCAATAGCGAGTGGGCGCCCCGGAGCGGCCTCGGCTGCGTCCCCCCGCTGCCACCGCGCCCGCGGCTCCCCCCGGGCAGGTGCCGCCCTCG